TGCTCTCTTCGCCACACTGCCCTCCGGCAGTGCTCAAGTCACTCGCTCTGAGCCCCCCTTCCGGGGGTTTGGTGTCTCTCCAGCAGGCCTGTCCGCAGGCCTAGCAGGCTGGCCGGTTGTCTGTCCGAGCGCCCTGGCCCAGCCTAACTCTCTAGCCCTGCCCTAGCTCCAGAGAGCGTCCTGCTCCCTCAGCAGCCAGGCTCACACTCCCTTGGCTGAAGCAGCCCTGCCCTTTTATAGCCCCCAGCTGGGCCTTAATTGGCCAACGCCGCCCAGCTGGGCTGAACTCCCCGGGCCTGCTCCAGGCTGGGGTTTGGCTCTTAAGGGGCCAGTACAGGGCAGCTGCCCTGTTACAGGGCCCCTGCGGGGCTTGGGGCAAATTGCCTCCCCTCTGGGTGGCCCTGCTGAAAGCTTCCCATAAAGTACTGTATCCCCTGAACTCCGTTTGAAAAACTTGCAGGATCGGGCCCTGTAAGAGTCTTCCAGCTGTGAGAGTACCTAAAATGGAGTTACTATTAATCAATGGTTGCACATGCCAGTATAGATGGCAGAGAAAAAATAAATCCTCTAAATTCCTTCAGCTCTTTCATATTGCTACTAAACTGCAGTGTGATCACTATGGGTTGTTGCTTTTTTCTGTTTGCACTAAGATGTTCCTTTGCACTTTAGCATTTCATCAGAGGTGTCTGGGAGGAACGTGCATGATGATTTTTCCTAATGGGGAATCTGTTTTGTTTTGGCCTTTTGATGTCTGTTAGTTTAAAGGAATAAAAATACTTAAACCGGATGAATAATTCCTCTGAACCAATAGTGCTTTAATGCTGGATGCTGGGGGTGGAGTGGTAACGTACTATCTCACTTAATTAATCCCATTTTGCAGCCTTACATTTATTTACCTGTGGCAATCCAATCACATTTTAATTGGAGCATTGTTTAATTAAAAGTGAGGCATCTAAACAATTGCAGTCATTGTTTATCTGTAAAGCATAGCTTAGTTTTGTATTTATGTTTTTAGCAGCAAACCCAACTGGAGGAGGTTTGTGGCAAACATTCTCCTCACGAGGCTGTTTCTTCTGTGCATCTAAATGGAATAATTGAGAACTAGAATTTATTCATGTGTTTGAAATTGCATCTTATTTTTCACCTCAGGTGTCTGCATTTGATACCGGTGCCAACAATAATACATCAACAGCTGCATGATTTCACCACACACTGAACCTGTTTTTTCGCACGCTTGCCTGTTAAATACAGAGTGTCACCCAGATTTTCTGCCAGCATAAATGGAGAATGCTATGACTGACAAACTTCTGAGGCCTCACACTTCTTTGGTTTTGGGGTGGGGGAGGGTTCCTTCTGCCAACTGAGACACTGCCTATGAAATAAACGTCTCATGCTTTTAAAAGATAAATATCCTATTCTGGTGGTTATTGT